TTTTGCTATGTCATCATACTGACTAGAGTCGGATTCTTACTTGGCACATTTAGATGTGCCGACTTTGTGTGACCTAGATAGAAAACATATGGGGGTATGTGTGTGTATTTTTAGCACATGTTAAGCTTTTGGCCTAAGGGCAAAATATGTGAAAAACTTCAGGAAGTGAAAAGAAAATCTCTTTTAGAAATTAATATAGGATTGATTAAATGATGGGGAAAGCACACTAAAAACTAGATGCTATAGAAAATGTTGTATTTAAAAATTCAGTTTCTTCTAGATTCTTAATTTTTAATTACCACATTTTATTGTATAGTTCTTTAATAATAGATCCTGTTTTGAAAATGAATCTTCATTGCCTAATAGTGAAGATTTACTTTTTTGGCAGACCTCTTCATCATTTATTGCTAACCCAACTGTAACTAGTTTAGAAAATACTTCCAAATTAGCCCCTTTAGATCTGATAAAGTAATTGCTTGGTGTGAAATAATGCTCCAGAACTATTAGCAGTATTTACTTAAAAACATTTTTTTCACATTTAATGGTTCTCATATTTTACAGCTTTTTAAGAACCTATTTCCTCAAGTGATCTTTTTATAATTCTGTATACTAGCTATTCAGCAGGTCAGGCAGTGAAATAGCATCTTTGCATTATTTAACAAAGATTTATATCTTAGGCATCACCTGAGGCATCATTCTAATACAAACTGAACAATATATTTACATAATACAGGCTTTATAACTGTATACAGTGCAGGAATTTTGAAAACTAAGTTTTCTTGAAATATTTTCTTTACAACTTTATTCCAAGTATATTTTATATATATGTATGTCAGTATCAGAGCTAGCATAGCTTTAAAGAGATATATTTTTTGTGAATTTAAGTTTTTATTGCTCAACTTTTTTGTTAAAAGTAACGTGATATGGAAAGTATGAAGCAAGAGACATTTCACTCCAGTACAGTTTCAGATTATTCAGAACTTTACCTCTTTTCTATTATTTTAAATATTATCCCTTAAATCATTGCCTCTTGGCTGGCTCAGAGTAACAGCCATAATAACAGAAGCCAACAATCATTATCCTTTTTGTACACACTCACAAACACACGCACACAGGAAATGCAAAGATGACAATCTGGCGGTTCCTTGAAAAATAAACAGTTACCATATTACCCAGCATCTCCACTCCTTGGTATATACCCAAGAAAAATGAACATGTATGTCCAAACAAAAACTTGTACACGAATACTCATAACAGCATCATACATTAGAGCCAAAAAGTGGGAACAGCACAAATGTTCATTATCTGGTGAAAGGATAATTCAAATGTATATCCATACAATGGAATCTTATTTAGCCATTAAAAAAGGAGTGAAGTACTGGTACAACATGAGTAAACCTTGACACATTATGCTAAATGAAAGAAGTCACTCACAAAAGACTGTGTGCTGTATAATTCCATTTATATGAAATACCCAAAGTAGGCAAATTTATATAGACAGAAAGTAATTTAGTGATTACCTACGGTGTAGGTGGGCAGAAGTGGGGAGTGACTGCTAATGGGTACAGAGTTTCTTTTTTGGAGTGATAAAATTGTTCCAAAATTAGATTGTGGTAATAGTTGTACAACTTGGTAAATATACTAAAAACCATTGAATTGTACACTTAAGGTAGGTGAATTGTAATGGTGTATGAATTATACTTCAATAAAATTACTATATTTTTTTTAAAAGAAAAGGTTGCTTTAGATTTCCTAATGTAAAGTAGTAGACAAGACATAATATCTAACCTGTGTAGTGGTATGGCAACCAGCAGTCTCAGTCTTTAAAGACAAAGAGTTAAGTTTTCAACTCCACTAGACTGACTTTTCTCTAGAAAAATGTATTCCTTTGTTCATTCCTTCAACAAATTAGTGTTTATTGGGCCCTCTGGGTACCTGATAGTATTCTTGGTACCAGGGACTCAATCATGTTCCTGATTCTTTTCTTTTTCTTCAAATGCAGTCAGTCATTATGTCACATCAAGTTTATTTCATATCCTTTAGTCTCTCCGTGTCTTCTTTCCCTCTTACCAATGTGTTTGGTTCTGTTACCTAGTCCAGTGATACTCAGCCACAGTGTTAATATTAATAAAATACCAAAGTTTGCAAATGTTTTACCTTAAAAAAATTAGAGGAATAATCCTGTAAATATCACTTATACTGACTTGCATTCCATTGTATTTTTGTGAGTGAAAGAGAAAGCAGTAGCATTACAGCTAGTGTGCCAGGAATTACACATAATCTTCATTACCTTTGAGAATATTTTGAGAAAGTGAACTTCATCCATTTTGTATATCCTCAGTAAAAGTTGAGAATCTGAGTTGGAGTAATATAATCACATTTTTAAAAAACCTATACTGCTCTAGCTTCAGTTCTCACTAAATCATCCTTACCAGAGATCTTTTTTTTTTAACTGAAATATATTTGACTTGAAACATTATATAAATTTAAGATGTACATGTTAATTTGATACATTTACATGTTGTATATGATTACTACTGTAGTAATAATTAGTACTGATCACATTATGTAATTATCATTTCTTTATAGTGGTCAGAAAAATTATGTTCTAGTCCATTAGCAACTTTGATGATTATAATACAGTATTGGCTATATTCGCTATACTATGCATTAGCTCTCTAGGACTATAGCTACTACTCGTTGCAAGGTCGTGCCACTAAATGATATCTGCCTTATTTCCTTATCCCCCACCCCCTATTAACTATTTTACTCTGTTTCTACCCGTTTGTTTTAGATTCCACACATGAGTGGTATCATACAGTATTTCTTTCTCTGACTTACCTCACCAGAATAATGTCCTCAGGGTCCAAAGATCTCTTTCTAACATCCATATCTGATCATGGCATTCTCCCAGTGAAATTTCTGCAGTGGTTCTACATTGCATATAAGAGAAACTGTAAACTTCTTTGCGTGATATGCTAGGTTACTCACGATCTTGCCCCTTTTTATTTGTACAGCTTCATCTCCAGCAAGGCGTATGCTCTGTGCTTCCATGCTTTTGCCCATGATTTGTGAGTGGGCAAAAATCTCTCCGCACATGCAACTGCTCTGTGAAGTAGACTTAGGTTTCTTCTATAAGTTCCCACTGTGTTTTGTAATAGCAGTTTTCATAATACATTATAATTATTTTAATATCTTATTTTCTTTTTATATTTTTATAAATATAAGAACTCAGTTCTCCTTAGGAACTAGAACTTTGTCCTTTTATTTTTCTGTTCCCAGCTTTTACCATAGAATCTGGTACAAAGTAGATGTTCAATAAATATTTGATGAATAAATTCAAAATGAGTTTCTCCAAAAAATTAATGTGGCCAAAATATTTATATATGATAATATGTGATGAAATTAAGGATTAAAAATACTGATGTGACTCTACATCCCATGTTTCCTAGAGCACTTCCAGTTTTAAATAGTCTATTGTATTGTCCTTTAAGTGTAAATGTAATTACCAAAACATAACTTTTTGTTTGGAAATGTATACGTTGAACCTATATCTTAATTTTAATTATTTGCAATTTACTTTTAAATTTTGATTTCATGTACTTAATGTCCTTTTTCTATTTCAGATAACTTTCAAAGCAATACTGAAAAATTATTTAAATCAATGTCTTTTCACTTACAGCACGTAACCTTTCTACATTACAAAACAAACAAACAAACAGGAGCTTACTCAACCTCCAGCCATTGAATCTACAAACCTACTTGTTTGTATACCTATTCTTTCACTGCTTCCTTTTCAAGTGTGTCATTGTAAGTCCTTCTCTTGATCCACACCTGCCTCTAGTTATCACTCTATATGCTTTGACTTTACAGTCTGACTTTCTGAGTTGTATAGGTTCACTTTTTATGTTCTCTCTGTAGTCACTCTTCAATCACTGAAATTTGACTTTGGTTACCTTACCTCCCTAGAACTGCCCTCACCTTCCTGATGGCTAAATCCTGTGGCCACATCTCTTTTCCTCTTGGTTTCTTGATATTGGTCACTTTTGGCTACTACTTCTTAAAAACTCCCTTGGTCTGTTGTGCCACACTGTCCTGCAGGCTTCCTGCTTCTGTGGCCACTCCTTTATGATCTTTTTTTCCCCTCTGCCTGCTCCTTGAATGCTGATGTTTTCTTTCAGGCCCTTTACACATTTTTCTCAGGATTTAGGAGGTGCTAAGTGAATTTTTGTTGAATGAACAAATGTGTCTGTATTGATGGTTTCTCAAGAGATTTGACTATAATTGAACCTTGTTAACTGAAGAAATTGCAATATATCATACCTGATCATGCACTTCACAGCCGAACTTTGGTCCATGACTCTCTTAAATTATTACATACTTGCAGTGAAAAAAAAAATGCAAGCTCATTATTCAGCTTTTAAGTTTGTGAGGTTCAGGTAGCTTTTTGTAAGTTCTCTGTATATAAAAGGTAATTACAAAGGTAATTTTAAAGAGCATGCATTGTCCCCAAATTTTATACCAGTTTGACTATTTACAGAAATTTTATAGCATAGCTGTTAGTCTTTATAATAATACTTTACTTCGAGTAAAAATTTAATTTAAATATACTCTGAAGTATGTACTCTGAAGTTTAAAAGAAAAGAGAGAATTAATATTTAATGAAACTGTTTTATTCCAGGCACTGACCTTTGTGTTTGCCTACATTATATATTTTCATCTTCCAACAACTCCAGGAGATAACTATTCTCAGTCATCTTACAGACAGGAGAAAACAGGTTAAGGGAAGTGAAATAGATTGTACACTGCAACACATATAGCCACTAAAATTCAGAACCAGAGCTCTCTCAGACTTTGTATGCATCTCTTTTCATGCATCTCTTCTAAACGATACTGAAAATATAAACTAGGGATGAATGCTAAATATAGAAATAAATGGTATTAGTACTTGAGTGAATATAAATTGTGTTAAAAGTTGTTTGTGCCATTTTTTCCCCTAGGCAGTTATATGGCATAAAACTAGAGTATCAGATCATAAGATGGCTCTCATGTCTGTTCTGGGGACTGCTGTTATGGGAAATATGGAATCATTTCAGTACCACTCTGAAGAATCTCAGGTACGCAACAAAAAATGTTCTTGAAAAATTCTAATTTACCAGTGAAACTGTTAAGTTATTTCCCTTTTGGGGGGTTTGGGGTGGCAAGAGCTTTTTTCTTTTTAACATTTATATCAGATATGTGTATAAGGTAAAAAAGAAGATACATACAGAGCTTATATTAAACCTGTCTCCCCAGTCTATTTCTCTTTTTATCTATTCTGCTTGTTGTTTTTAATTTTAGATATTGTATTTACATTAACTCTGTTGATGATTTTTAATTTAGGATCTCATCTGTTTACTTTCCACTATGAAGGAGAAGAAGTTGAGCTCTCTTACCTTTGTTTTCTCTTTCTCATTCTACACATACTCCAGCTTCTTTTTCTTGATCTGTCAACTTCAGACAGTCCTCTTGAGTCACTATAATATTAGCTGTAGTTATTAACACTCCCACTCATACTAGCCCTTTCCTCTCTCAATCATGTCAGTTCTACTTTTATGTTATCAAGTTTAATAACCTGATTTTTCAGATAAGCATTTTTTAAACCTTCCATTTTTTGTTTGAAGATTGATTCTACAAATTGAAAATTTGTATGAAGTTTATATTACTACAACTATGAATAACCTTCATTGCAAACCCAAGTATTGTGCTAGGGTTACATTTCCTCTCTAAGTATCCAATGTTATGTCTCTGTGTCTTACAGATGAGGATACCTCTATTGTCCCAATTAAATGAATCTTTGTTTTCTCCCATCAGTTGCTCAAAATTTGTCATGTTTGTCATGCTTTATATATAGACTATCTTACGTAACTTTTTGCTTTTTCTAGATTTTCCAAAAGATTTTCTTTTTTAAGTGAAGAAATTTTATCACGACAGCAATAAAATCCAGCTCTTTTAGTTATTCTAGCTGTAATTGCTAATCCATTTATTTCATTCCATTCTTTTTGAACTCACTGTTCCTAGAACCCACTTATTTCTTATTTGGATTGATTGCATTATGCACTACTCATCCTGAGATTTCTTTTCATAGGAGTACTGGTTATTTCCACTATGTCTTGTATCCAATGTCTTCCTTTCTTGATATTCATTCTCATTTTTTTGATAGTCATCTTTTAAGTGACTTCCACAGAAAGGGAACATGAGACTTTATTTTGCACTTTCTCATATTGGTAGTCTGGTAGACATAGAATTCTAGATTGAAAAGTAATTTTTCTTCAAAACTTGAAGACATTGAGTATCTTTGATCATCTATTGTTGCTGATGGGAAGATTAATGCATTCCAATTTTTTCTAGGCACTATGTTTTTTTCTTTCTGAAAGTTCTTAGCATCTTTCCTTCATCATTGTTCTTAAATTTTACAAGGATGTGGGTAGACGTTTGTCTTTTATTATTCATTTGTTTATTACTCAGAGCACCTTTTGAATTTGAGGACTCATTTCTTTTTCAGCTCTGGGTTATATACCTCCATCTGTCATCACTTTGATAATTTTTCTGTTTTTTAGTGAAGCTCCATATTGTTGATAAGAACCTCCTCTTATTTTTCTCTTGCTTTTCTCAAGTGTTTCATCTTTTTGTTTTTCCTATAAGTTTCAGAGATCTCTCTGATTCGTTTATCTGTTCTGCTGACTTTTTTTTTTTTAAGTTTTACGTTTAATTTCCAAGAGAATTTCAAAATTGTATTGCTTTTTCATGACTTCTTATTGTTTTATGGATACAAAATCTTGAATCTCTCTGAAGATACTAAATTTTTGTTTCCGCTTTTTAATTTGTTCCTTAAATTATCTCTTTATCTTAGGAGGTCAGTTTTGTTTTGCTTTTCAGGTCTTTTTTCTCCAAGTCTCTCATTCTCTTGCTATCTTCCACCACCACCCACCTCCCCGAATTGGAAGTGTAATTGGAAACTTGGTGTTTGTGGCTGGGCTTTTTGACTGTCAGGCACCACTTGAGTGTTAAGTAATCAAAATCCTGGTCCTAGAGTTGAGGAGAATCAAGTGCCATTATGAGATGAGGACTTACTCTGCAACCCAAGGGTAATTCATTTTATCTCTCTCCCGCCCCTCCATTCCCTTCCTTTGCTCGCTTGCTCGCGCTCGCTCGCTCGCGTGCGCTCGCTCTCTCTCTCTCTCTTCCTCTCCCTCTTTCTCTTTCTCTTTCTCTCTCTCTCTTTCTTTCTCTCTCTCCCTCTCTCTCCCCCTTTCTCCCCCTTTCCCTCCTTCCCTCTCTCTTTTTCTAGCACAAAATTAAATTGTAATTACTTCATGACAGATTGTCCTTATTCATTTTCTTAATGGAAGAGCCTTTTTGATTATTGTTCCTGTTTGTCTGCTGACTTTAAACCTGAAGGCTCTCTGTTCTACTGGACAGTTGTTTTCTCTCTTCTTCCCTTTTTTCTTAATTTGTTGAAATCTCTTTTCACCATTCCATGCTTTCTGGGCTTGTAAGGAGACTTGTCCTATATCAGAGTTTCTTTGACCCCTTCTTATTTCTGGCCAAAGGCAATCTTAAGTTGTTTGCCACCTGCTAGTGTTTGCCCTTCTTACTCCATTTTTATTCCTTTTCCATACCTTTGAGTTGTAAAACTTAGCTACCAAGGCCTCTTCACTGGACTGGGATGGCAGATAGATAGGCCATTGGGAACCTTGGATGTGGAGAATCTTTATATATCTCTTCTCATGTTGAGGGTCTTTTTTTTTTCAATAGGGTCACCATGTGAGAAGAATCTTCTAATTATGAATGGCGTGATATCATTTGTTAGGAGTTTCCCAGTGTGGCTTTGTTGGCTTGATGGAACTTCTTCAGTTTCGTTTTTTGTTTTTGTTTTTCAACATCTTTCTCTCTTTGATATTTTTATCTTTGCAGTACACCATGCTGAGTCTGGGTGAATTCTTCAGTATTTTCTGATTTTTATTCCCCAAACTATATATTCTATGTATTTTATTTCTAAGATTCAGAGTTTATTCATTTTCTTCTAAACTTGGTTTATAGCTACTAGTTTTGATTTCTTGCTGGGTTATTTAAAAATGGATGTTATTTTTCTTTACTCTTTTAACCTATGGTACACATACTAATTTTAAGGTCCTTTTCAAATTACTCTATCATTTCTGCTTTCCTGAGAGAATATTCTCTCATTCTCTGCTATTTTATATGCTTTGAAATTTTAATTTGTAAAATCACCTTGAATGCAGATTTATTGTTTTTGTTTTGATTTTCCTCTCCCTCTCCATAGTTTGGCATATACTACCTCATTTCCAGCTGCAGTTCAAAATCACGTGTTATATTAGTTTATGCCTTTCATCCTTCCAAGATTTTAGAGACCCCTTTTTCTAGCAGACTTGGCTTAGCCTTATTCTTGATTTTGGAGTTCTCTATGTGCTTTCTTGTGACCCTTGTAAGCAGCTCCAAATAGTGGTCACAATATTTTTAAGGAGTTGGGGAGTACTGGGGTGGGAGGAGCAGGGGTAGCTCAGTCACCCATTTCAAATGGAAAGACTGATTTTAATTCCCTGTGTCCATACCAGAATTTAATTTCCAACTAATGTAGCTGTTGTCTGATCCTAGAGCACACAGGGCTTTTGACTTCAGCCATCGCACCCTGTTATGTTTTGCACACATAACATCTTTATGTTTATCTTTTTAGAAAATGGTTAGCTCTTTCAAAATTTGTGTTAAAACTAATTTTATCTATCACTGCTATCTATTTGCAGTTGGGAATGGGGAAGAAGGGAATTTCTACATGACTTATTCCACTATCCTTACCAAAAATACTTAAGTTATTACTTTAGAAACATAACTCCATGGTGTTCTAGAGGTTTATTGAAAGGCTCATGTTAGGAGACCAGTCAAAGTTACTTCAGCAGAATCAGAGTAGAAGAGAGGAGATATCAGTTTGAGAGATTGGGTAGGTAACAGGACTCTTTGTCATAGTAAAGTAATATAGGAGGAACCAATTGAATAACAAGGTAGAAGTGGAATGAAATATTTTATTAAGTTTTGAAGGTAGTGGGATTAAGAAGATTTTTGTGACAGCTAATTAAAGATAGTAAGCATTTAAGGGTGAAAGAAATAGGGGCTATACATCTATATCTTAGCATTACTGGTATATGTGTATGTGTATGAAATGACTCAGAGAGAGTAGAGAATAAGAAAAAAAGGCCTGATGGTGGAATTCAGGGGGGCTATAATCACTTATAGGAGGTAAGCAAAGGAAGAGAAATCAGTAAACCAGATCAAAGAGGAAGTATTAGATAAGAAGTAGAAAAAAACAAAACAGAAGACTAAAGAGTGTCATGCTTGCCAACAAAGAGAGTTGCCATTGGTGTCAGGGTCTGCAGAGTCTCAAAAAAGAGAAGGGGACTGAATGTCCATTGGAGTTGGTCATTGAGGAAGAAGCCAGATTATAGGGGAGCTGGAGATGAAAGGAAGGAGAGAGGGGCCCATAGTCGAAAAGCAAAAAGGGGAGAAGTTTTTGTTCATATTGTCTTTGATTTTTGTTTTGCTTTTTAGGTTGAGAAATACTTGGGTACAGAATCTTGTAAGGTCTAATTTTTTATTTTGTACTGATTTGGTCTCTTATAGACATTCTGTTTCCTTGAATTAGCCTGATTTTTTACTTTTTATAGCATTTTACAAGACTTTGCTGTTTGATTTTACTTATTTATATAACTTAAAAATAGATTTTTTTAGTTCCTAAGGTTATCCTAAGCCATCTTTAAAACTGCAGTAGTTTTAAAGTAATACTAATTATTCAGTGGCCAAACAAAATGGTGTGAAAGGAAAACACTAGCAATATTACCAATTTCTTCTTAATTTTATTCTCCATAATTACCTATTTGGGGCAGATTTTTGGTTTTTTTAACAAGCCCAGTAAGTCTTTCAGAGACTAACCAAGCTCCTCTGATGCTTAGCAGGTACTTTAAGAAGGCTCTCATGTTTCTTGGTGAATTATATAACCATTTATAAATGCTGTGAAGTTTTACAGTTAATTAAGTAGTATCATTTTGTAATGGATTATCCAGCTTTATTAATTTACTTTTTAAAATTGGCACAACTTGGCACTGTGACAATAATGCACTTAGCGTTCTAAAATTGGTAACACATCTCCTTAAACACTTATTTCCAAGGGCAGGAATAGCCACAGACATAGGTGTCAGCCTACAGGCTGTGTTATTAAGGAACCTCGTGTTTTCTGCTTAAGTAAAAATAGCAGCCCCACTGATTCTCACTTCTAAACCTAAGCTAAAATTTTACTATTAGCGTTTTTTTTAACAGATTAATAATACATCTGGTTCCACTTGTTTCAGATAAGAGATTATAGGCCTATATTTTAAATAATTTGACCAAGATCAAATAGATAGTAGTGAAGCTGGGATTTAAGTTATGTCAATTTGGCTCTAACCTGTATTCTTAACAATTCTGTATATTACCTTTAAAGGTAAAAGTAGGAGCATTTTCCTTGCCCTCTGTTCCCTCAATTTCTCTCTTTTCACACATTTGTAAATGGAAAGGGAATGCATTAAAATAATTGATTTGCTTGTAGAAAAGTTCTCTAAGCAAAAATAAAGTCAAAGGACAACACTACAATCAAGAAGAGATTTTTAACTCAGAAATGAAAACCCAGTCAAATTGGCTTTAGAGCACACTCAGAATAAGGATAGGAACAACCACTTCTTTAAGGAAAAGGTGGCTTAGAAGAAAAAGACAAACAGCCAGAGGAAAGTCACAATATGAGGAGAGAAAAATTTAGGAGATAGAAGATAAAGTCGAGCAGAGAGCAGTGTTTATGCCATATGTTCTATATCAGTAAGATATATGCCCATTCATGAAGCTTTTATGAATACCAGTTTTTTCTTAAAATACAGTTGCAAAAAAGAGAGGCACAACTTGCTTCATTATTTAACATGCTTCAGTCTTTTATTTAACATGCTTCAGTATTTTATTTAAAGTTAATGCTCAGGATATAGTTATCAGGAAGTATATGGCTCTTTAGACCGTAAGGTGAAAATCGTGGGGTTTTTTTAATGCCTTTTAATGTATCGTATGTAGCCAGATCCATAAACTACATTTATTGTTGACATTGCATATTGATTGTGTAATTACTTATTACACTTATAGATTCATCTAAGTGGATTTCTTCCAAAGCACGATGCGGACCACTCTTTTACAAGTCTTTCAACCCCAGAAAAGAGTTTCATCTTTATAAACAGTCGACCGATACACCAAAAAGACATATTAAAGGTAATCTATTTAAGAAAAAAGTATCAGTTCGTTCAGAAATAAAAACTAGCTCTGTCGTTTGTCAACTTGTTACCAGGATTACTTCTAAGACTTTGCTCTAAAATAAGGAAAAGGAGAAAAAGATCTACAGGAGCATTTATTAAGAATTGTTCTAGGTACCTTACATACGATGTCTCATTGACTTTTCATGACAACTCTGAGATATATTATTATCCTTATAGTGAAGAAACTGAAATGTTAGTGACTTTCAAACTGAGATGTTAGTGACTTTCTTGACCACACAGCTAGGAGGTAATAGAGTTTGGATTTGAACTCGACTTTCAAAACAACTGTGATCTTTTAACCATGAAACCAGTTTCATTGGCTATTTGTACTTCCTAATGAATGTTTGTGCTTCATTCTTATAGCTTGAAGGCTTCTAAATGAGTATTACTATTTAGATACTGCTATTTCTAATACATCCACCTGGTTTCTCAGTTGGGTATACTCCTTTTTGGTGATATTTAAGGATGGCAATACTATATTTATGTGGTGTTCTTATCTTTTATTCATTACATATATTTCTAGTTAATCCGACATTATTACAATCTGAAGTGCCTAAAGGAATCTACTCGTTTGTATCCCATTTTCTTTTTGAAAATTGATGTTCCCACAGCTGATGTGGATGTAAATTTAACACCGGATAAAAGTCAAGTATTATTACAGAATAAGGTAACCTTTTTCAGATAATTTTTTTGTATTAATTTATGCTATTTACAAGCTTATACAATCCTAACCATTTTTGTGTGATAAAGGATATTTGTGCATATTTTGTGCTTGTTTGTGCATATTTTTAAACATTTTAAATCTTGTCTATTTATTATTTTCATAATTTCCCCTAACATTTGTTAATTTTTGTTTTTAGGACTCTGTTTTAATTGCTCTTGAAAATCTGATGACGACTTGTTATGGATCACTACCTAGTACAGATTCTTATGAAAATAATAAAACAGATGTTTCCTCAGCTGACATGGTTGTTAGTGAAACAGCAGAAACAGATGTGCTTTTTAATAAGTTGGAATCATCTGGAAATAATTATCCAGATGTTGATACTTCAAGAATTTCTTTCCAAAATGATGTACATAATGATGAATCTGGAAAAAACACTAATTATTTAAATCATCATATACATGTTGGTGACCATTACGATAATCGTTTTAGTAGTGAAAACTCTAACATTGATAAGAATACTAGAAATACATTTCAAGAAATCTCAACGAATAATTTATGTGAAGGCACACAGAAGGAATACAATGAAACTTATTTTGTAGATTGTGTTAAGCATGCGCAATCTGAAAATGTCAATAAAGAGCATAGAGATGAGAGTGGGAAAAATGAGAAAGAAGCAATTCCTGAAAAATCTTTGGTAATTTCTGCAGATGACTGGAGCAAGGGAAATACACTTAAAAATTCAATAGGAGAAAATATCGAACCTGTGAAAATTTTAGTGCCTCAAGAAAGTTTAACATGTAAAGTAAATGATGATAATAATCTAAGCCCTGAACAAAATCTCAGCGAACGTTCTAGTAACAAAAAATCAAATGTGGTAGATAACATATCTGGACAGCTTACAGCTTATGATTTAATTAGCAATCACGTAATCAAGAAACCCATGTCAGCAAGTGCCCTTTTTGTTCAAGATCATCGCGTTCAGTTTCTCACAGAAAATTCTAAGACCAGTTTAGAGGATGCAACAATACAAATTGAAGAAATGTGGAAGACATTGAGTGAAGAGGAAAAACTGAAGTAAGTTTCCTGAGCTTGCATGTGACCTGACTGTTCAGATATTTCCATTCTATATGACTCACTGGGTTAAAAAAAATATACTTTTTAAACTTATTTTTGGAAAAGCAGGGTGGAAAATGCCTTTTGGCTTGGCTAGAGTACCTTTTTTGACATTACTTTTTTTGTTTGAGGTTTTTAGTTTTGTTTAGGGACAAGCCTTAACTGTTTGTTAAAAAACTGTAACATTGCAGATTTAATTTAGTGGTGTTCATACTGTCCTTATTCAGTATAACCCAAGGCTTCCTTCTAAAATCTTTATTGGTAACTTAAAAATTGTGGTGGGTTTTTTGGTAGGTAAATGGATAGTGTGATCTATCTTTGATTAAAATAACTACACAATACTTGCCGTCTTTAGATCAGATGATCTGAATAAATATTCCCAGATAATATGATGGTGTTTCTAATTGACTTAAGGCACTTATTTGTAAACACAAAATATCATATTTTGTGGAAGTATACTTTCACATATTATTATCTAAGTCATCTCAATACTATGTCAGACATCTGGAGGAAATATTTAAATGTAACCTATCATCCTCCAGAGTTTGTATTTGGTGAGAAAATACATGGATGCTTGATTGATATTTTTTCATTAGCTTATTCAGTCATATAAAGATACTATCAATTTAAAATAATAAAGACCATTATTAATACCAATAGGCAAAACCTCCATAAATTAATTTCTCTTTTCAACTTTTTTTTTTTGGAGGGGATGGTTATGTTTTGTTGGTTTTTCAAACACACAAAAGTAGACAACAGTACTGTGAACCCATCACTGTGTTTACCAACCCTCATCTCATGGTCAGTCCTGCTGCATCCATACCTCCACTCACTTCACCTATTTCATAAATATTTCATTCAGCATGAATCTGTAAAAGATTCTTATTTTAAATAGAGCTATAATATAGTTGTCATAACTTTTTAAAACAAGAATTCCTTAATATCAAATAGTCAATGTTCAAATTTCTAATTATTTTATAAATGCTAGATATTTTAAAGTTTATTTGAATTGGATGCAAATAAGAGTAGGGACAGTGTAACAACTTAAGATAGCATTCCTTTGCAGCCTCACGATAGCAAGTATTGCCCTGGTTGCCTTTTGGGGAATGTCAGCATTGTTTCTCCTTTAGGCCTTGGGGTGTCAGGGTACAAGGATTATGGTTAGTAGGCCCCATCTAAAAATTTTTTTATCATCAGGCAGTATTCTGGAATCCAAAATTTTCTCTATCTTATTGCCATAAAGCAGACAAAGTGGCAGACTTTGTATTGGTTAAGAGCATGAAGCTATACCTGAGTTGGAACCTCTGTTCCTTTCTTTGCTAGCTAGCTTTTTGAAAAAATATTTATCTCCTGGATTGTTATGAGGTTTGAATAAATATTGTTTGTGTTATACAAGATAAACAACTGGCAAATTGTAAATGATAGCTCATGATCTGCGAAAAAGAAATTTCTCTATTGTGATTGACATTATTTTTCACTTGCTTAGTCAAAATTAAATTTACTCTGAAGGCCAGAAATAGAAAACTGTAAAGAAAATGCGGGTATTTTGAGATCCGAGAGCTTACTCTATTTCACAGAATACTATATTAGAATCTTCCAGAGTCAGGAGTCAGAAAGATGAGACCATGAATGACTTTGTCCAAAATCGTGATTAGTGAGATGATAGGACAAAAATATCACACTTAGTAATAACACTAACCACCACTCCTCATCTAGTCTTCATCTTGGAATACTTTCTAAGATCCTAAATTCTACAAGGAGTGCTAAGGGATATGAGAGTAGACTCCTTTTCCACAGATAACCAATCTTTTCATCTAGCCTTCCTTTTCTTCCCCTTTTTCCTTTTCATTCTGTTTCTTTCACTTCCTTCTTTCCTCCCTTTTTTCTTCCTTTCCTTCTTTCCCTTGCCTTCTCCTTTTCTCCCTCCCTCCCTTTCATTAGAGAATATATATTGAGTATATTCTGTGTACGAGGCCCTACGTATGCTAGCCTCGTTGCTTCAGATACAATTGTAAATGAAACATTTTCTACTTTTAAATGGTACAGTCTAGTGAGGAAAACATAATTAAACAATAGCAATCATAGAATATGATGAATTTTAACAGAATTATGAAAACACTTAGCAGTTGAGCTTACTCTCATCTATGGGACAGGAAATGCTTCCCT